ACTTGGCCACACCCATGATAAGCGGACACCTGGCTAACTAAAATCATGCCGGATCATGTATGTTGCTGTGCCAGACTAGAGAGGTTCAACTCGTGCTACCTTTGTAGAAAGAGAGGTGCTAGGGCAGGAAGACACAGAAAGTTAGGGCTAGACTGGGCTAGAAGCGCTACCGCAGTGCAGTTACACTGGTTCAGCACCTCTGGTGAAGGTGCTCTCTGCCAGTGGAAGAAGGTCTCCTGCCAACATACCACTGTCCACACCGGCTCCTGGATTGGTGTAATTTACAGCCCTCAGTGGGGTGGGTTATTCCCACCTTTGCCCGTCCCCGACGTAAGTTCCCACATAGGCCAAGCCTTAACGTATAAGTAGCCTGAGCACGAGTGGCAAATGTTTCCATTTTACGATGCTGTTTTCAGTAGCTCTTCTTTTTCCTAATTCTATGTATCTGTTGGGCCAAAATTCTACAAGCTTAGCTTCTGCCCGAGATGAATATTGTCTGTCATAACAATCCAGCCGATTTTAAGTATGGGGAGGAGTGCAAACCTGGTGCCGTGTCTGTAGTATCGGAGAATGTACTACACAAATACCTTTTTGATACAAGTCTATCCAGAGTCCCTAGTTGCTTCCTGGGGAAGCTATGTAAACATGTAACCACTTTGCATCCTGGTTTATGCTTTGGTGTGGGCAAGGCTGGTGTAATGCTAGAGTTCCAGATTTAATGTGATCAGCAGATTTGGAACCTCTCCCTGTGAATGGGAACCAAACCTATAAAAAGTACTGTGTCCTCGGCATTGTGGTAGAAGAGATTTTTCCCTATATGTTTGAAGAGGTAGTTAGACTCCAGGTCCGGGCACATGGCTATTGGTTAACCATTGTTAAATTCCGTATTTTTAAAACTTATTTTTCAGCTGTGAATCATTTATAATAGCTCCAGAAAATATTGGCACACATGATTCACTGGCAAACTTCTGGGTCACAAATATAGAAAAATGATCTGTTTTCTCTGTGGGTTTTAATCTGTCGTGGGTGGCAAAGAGTTTAAGAAATGTGCAAAAGAATTATAATGACTGTGGCTTATTGATTGCTCTGACGTCATCTCCCTGTGGGACCCCTTTCATATTCCAGTCTCCTGCAAGTTTGCAAATTGAGAAAGAGGCAGTACCAGGGAGATCAAGTCTGTTTTTCACTTGCTTGGTAGCACTTTAGTCTCATAAATTGTGTTTTATTTTCCATGATTACTTGGTATTTTTGGTGCGTAGCTAGTTAGCAATTGAGAATAGAATGGCATTTCCCCAGGATAGTGAATATTTTATGGCATCTTTATTTGAATGGAAAATAAGGTTTGTTGTAGCTTTTTTTAAAGCGATAACTCTTCGTAATTGTCAGCCCTTAGGGAAATCAGGAGTGAGTTTCTATTGCAACAAATCTCTTTTTTGCTTTGCATTTTGGCTGTTGTGACTTTTAGCCTCCAAAGAGCAACGGTGCGTTGTTACATCTTTGATGATCATGAAGAAGATGGCAGCTTTGGTGCATATTTGCTTACTGTTGTTCAAAGCAAATCGCTCCCATTCGTGAAGACATATTTGGTCAAGTTTGTCTGCAGTTCAGAGCCCAAGCAAAGGACTTTGCACTTGGAAACAACATGGCTGTGTCTACACTGGGCCACTTATTCCGGAAAATCAGCTGCTTTTCTGGAATAAGCTGTGAGCTGTCTACACTGGCCCTTGAATTTCCGGAAAAGCAACGATGCTCTACTGTACAAAATCAGCCGCTATTCCGGAAAAACTATTCTGCTCCCGCTCGGGCATAAGTCCTTATTCCGGAACACTGTTCCGGAAAAGGGCCAGTGTAGACAGCCCAGTAGTCTTTTCCGGAAAAAAGCCCCGATCGCGAAAATGGCGATCGGGGCTCTTTTCCGGAAAAGCGCGTCTATATTGGCCACGGACGCTTTTCTGGAAAAAGGGCTTTTCTGGAAAAGCAGCCTGCCAATGTAGACGCTTCTTTTCCGGAAAAACTGAAAACGGAATAGTATTCCGTTTTAAGCAGTTCCGGAAATTCATGCCAGTGTAGACACGGCCCATGGGAATTTGACTTCTTGGCCCGAAGGGAGGATGCGAAGCACTGGGCAGGCAGACAACATCAGGTACTGCTGCAGAATGTGCTATAAAGACAGTTGCGTTCTATAGACTCTTTCCATGCACATGTAGGGTTATGTGGCAGTAGATCTGTTGTGGCCAAACTAGCATGTAACCAGTGAACCTGCTAAGCATCACCCTTACTGGGTGATGTTCACCAGTAACTGGTTAACTGGTACCTCATCTGAGATTCAGACTGGAGGTTCCTACAGTGCATAGGTTGGGATTCAGCTCATTACTTGTTGCAAGGCTCAGCTTTTGGCTGGCCGGCCCCAAATGGGTCTCGAACATTTCTTCAGGTCTGTTGTGCAGTTAAAATGGGATTTGTGCATCACCTCCCTTGGCTGCCAACGTCTGAGGTATCTGATTTGTTAGACGTGGCTCTGGGCGCATCTGTGCTGGGAACACTACTCCAAGGGCAGGGGAATGGTTTGCCCCTGGGGTTTTTCACAGCGTTGGCTAGAGACTGGAAGAAGCCCTTGTGCTCGGGAAATTTGACCTCATGTTAGCCCGTAATTTTGAGATAAAGTTAATGTGAGCCTGTAATTCTGCTCACAATCAGAGGTTCCATCAGAGATGATCAGGCAGCAGGCACAAAAACTCGGGAACGGCAAAGTTTAAGAAAAGGCCATTTACTCTCCGCAGAGAATCTTTTCCAAGCCGGATCCAAAATGGCCCAGTGTTTTTGCAGCTGGACCGACGTTCTTCACCAAAGCAGTTAAGATCAGGCTGCGTTGCCATCAGGCAGTGTGTCAGTGATCTGTGCCATCCTTGGGGTGCACAAAGCTACCTCTGGGGTTCCCTAGTCCCCCGTGTTCAGCAGTAAAGGGTCTGTAGGATCACTGCTACTGTCTGGTATCCTTTTCCTCCTCTCCCATGAGGCATTGCCCAGCATTTTTCTCTCTGTGTTGCCGCCTGCTGTGTCAAAGGCAGGATTAAAAAGGACACTGAAGCTCATGCCCCTGGAGTCACTAGGAATTAAAGATTAAGCTTTAATGAAAGGTTATGTCACGTGACAAAACCTCCAGGAATATGTCCATCCACAATTGACATCCCCGGAGTGGGGCGCTGTGAGACGGGGAGCTAGTAGCTAACCCATCTCAACCACGTAGGCGTGAATGAAGACAAGGAGAGCCCTCGGAGCAAGAGGACAAACTCGGGGTGGAGAAAGCTGAAGGAATGTCAGGAGGCTGTGGAAGAACTAGAGGAGGGGCGAGAAGGAAGAGGAGTAGCAGACGAGGACAGGAGGGAGAAAACCTGAGGCTGCCATAACTGCTTTGAGACTCAGTTTGGCAGGAAACGGAAGGCCCAGGCACAAGTCTTGGGAAGCCCCGCTGGAAATAGACACTATGGAGGCATTACTAGAACGTTATACTGTGCCCCCCCACCCCAAAAAAGCAAAGCCATTTGGGGTAATTCATTGCTGAGACTTAAGCAGCTTGGCCTGTCTGTGCCCACCCTATTCCAACCTCATGTCACAACCTCTGCCCCTTGTTCCTGCCTTCCTGCTTCCTCTACCTTTCAATATTAGCGACGAACCTTCATCAGCCGCCCTCCATTGTAGCTGCTTGCTGCTTCTGGTTCAATAGGGTGCTCTTGTCCTCCAGATACAGACTGGAAACTTGTTCCTGTGGAATGACAGAGTGGCGTCATCAGCCCAGAGTTGCGCTGCAGCCCTGGCCCAGCCCTTCCCACCCCAGCGGCCGGGGGGGAGAGTGGTAGCTGCCTCGGCCCGACCCTCCCCGGCGGCCTCCCAGAATGGGCGCAACCCCAGCCTTCCGTAGCAGTAGCGGGGGCTGACGCGGCCAGCGGCAGAGCTGGGGGCTGCCTACCCCCAGAGAGAGCGCAGTTGGCGAGCGTAGCAAGCAGAGGGTGCAGTCCCCTAGTTATGACTTAACAAACCAAGAGCTTGTACTGCATCTCTTTCTTTGTTTGCCGCTCACAACAAGCACTCGCTGCCTCTTGTCTTCCATCCTGGTGTGAACAAAAAGCCCAGTCTACCCATCCTAATTCTCTTTATGTATTGGAAGCTCCGTTATCCTCTCAGCATTTACTTCTCTGTGTGAAGAGCAGACCTCATCTCTTGGAAACGGTGTCCCTACCTCTTTCTACTTCAGGCTGTGTGAAAGCCCCATTTACCCAAATAAGCCATGGGGTGGGTGGTTATTGTAATTGCCACAAAGCCTTGGAGCCCTAGGAATGAACCGGAACTCCGTAACACTAGGCGCCATAGAAACACAACAAAAATGGTCACTTCTCCAAATTATATCGCATTGCCTTTTTATTTGAAACCACGTGCTACAAGATGTATGAAACCTCCCCCGTAAATATGTCCACAAGAAATGTCAACGATTAAAAAACATTCTAAGTTAGTAATTGCAAGCATATTCCTACCCCGCTCCATGGGAGCACAATTACACTTGTTTGCAGCACCTCTGTGATGAATGTCCTAGCTTTCAGACAGAAACAGGAATTGCCATATCAGATCAGACCATGGGTCCATCTAGTTCAATGTCCTACAAGTACTAGATGTATAAGAAGAGTTAATCCCCCCTCCTCCATAATGGACTATTATGGAATAACTTGTTTACAGGTTTCTCCCTAGCCCCTATCAGTAGTTTACAAGCTAAAGCATGAGTGTTTATTTCTGCTTAATTTATTCATAAGCATTTCATTCGAGGAAGGTGCCGGGTGCTCAGAGCTCCTGAAAGTCAGCCTGTTTATTTAGGTATAGGTACATATCGGTGCAAAGCCTTAACTTCAATAAGTCATTTTAAACAAAACCAGGAGCACGCTTTTTCAATAGTGCACATCATGCTCGTCCGAGTCCCGTGAAATCTTTATTGGTTCTCTTTTCATTTTCAGATGGCAAGTTTGGTGCCTACATGCAGGTACATATCCAGAATGATGGTCCTGTAACTATAGAATTGGAGTCTCCAGCTGCTACTGTGGACCCGAAGCAGGTAAGACAGTGGTGGGTAATAACCGTGCATCAGGATTAGCCCCTGCTGGGCTGCTAGTGCTTTATTTACCGGCGCCTCCACAAGTGCGGCCGCTTGAAGCACCCATTGGTCGCAGGGTTCCTGGCAATGGAAGCTGTGGGAGTCGACGCGGACCGGGACACCGCTTCCTGCAACTCCCATTGGCCGGGAACAGCACCCCGTGACCAACAGGAGCGTCAAGTCGTACATGTGGAGGCGCAGGTTAAAAAAAAAGAGCTGGTGGCCAGGCGGAGGCTAACTCTGGTGAGCCACATCCGGCTTATAGTCCATCCCTGAGGTGAGCCATCAGGCGGCTCTCATTCAGAGTGAAGGGAAATGCTTGTACAATTCTCAAGGTGGACAGTTGGGTGGCTCAGGACTTTACTTTGTTCTGTGTCACAAAGTGCAGCTTCCTTTTGTCATAAGGGCCTAATGCTTTGTGAATTGTCCCTGCAAAATGAAATCATTTTTCTTCAGTTCCGTGGCTTCTTGGAAGCTGCCTACCATCTTGCTAAAGGTCACATATGTGTCATGCAGAGCAGCATTTATAATACATTTGTTGTTCATCATTAAGGCATCCTTTTAATCATGAGTCATAGACTGTTTTTCTAATGCATTTGCTTTTTTAAAAATAAATAATCAAGACTTTTGACATTTTGGGACTATTGTACGTGGGTGGATACATGGGGGAATCAACAGGCAAGCTAGTTTTTCTGCGAAATTAAAATGCTGCCAGTTTAAACCCTGAGCGGCATTTGAGGCTAACGAGAAGTAGTGGCAACAGGGCTGTGATACATTGCCTCAGAAGAGAGGACTCTGAGAATTCAATTTCTCTCAGGTATTGAGATTTCTGCTGTTCTCTAGGGTAAAAATTATTATTGTAGATTTACATTGGGTTTTTCAGTTGTAGTCTAAAGCAGCAATTGCTGTTGCTTATGCATATCGGCCCTCGTGTGTCATGGAACTGACCCAGAACTGACCAGTATGTTGGCTATAATACTTGATGTTTAGTTGTTACTGTATTCTCACATAATTCTTTCCCTTATCACCTTGACTGTTCCTAAAAATTGGTGCAATAAAGCAGCACTGTGGAATCATGCTAACCAAGAATGCCATTTCAATGCATGTGGCAGCCTTGAGTTCCTGTGGGCTATTGCAAGCCCTGTTGTCCATTTTCCAGGTTTTGATTGTGCCTGTATTTGTGTTTTATGGACAGTCTTTTTGCAGTCACAGAGAATGCTCCTGGACTAGAGACTAAGGGTAGCTCTGTCTCTCTTCAATATAAAAACTTAAACAACAAATAGTCTTGCAGCACTTTAAAGACTAAAAAAACATGTAGATGGTATCGTGAGCTTTCGGGGGCACAACCAACTTCTTATCTCTTTAATGTGTTTTCTTAAAAAACAAAACAAAACCCTTTCTTTTTTCCTGGAAGGACACACTGAACACTAGATGTCAGCAGAGTTGCATTACTTCGGAGGCTGTGCTTAGATACAGTTGTTTCAAACATCAGACTAGGTAAATCAGGAATTCTAAATATCCGAGGGTACTCTTTGTAATGTTATTTGGAGCCTCATATAAAAAAAGGGAGAATGGTAAAACCCTAAGAGAAGTCTCATCTGCAGTAATGTCTCTTGCATACAGTCCCTTTAAAATTACACAATAGAGCTTTAAACAATGGTAATCAGTAAAAATGTGTCTAAATTGTCTAGGAAAGGCCTAAAGGAAGCAGAGAGATGGTCAACTGAATAATTTCTAGTGATTAATGAAGCTTCCTTTGTTTTCCCTTCCATTGGGTGAGTCTTTGTGGCTATACAGGGGTGTATAATGGTAAGTCTGGCCAGTCCCTAAAATTACTATATTTTTATGTCTTCAGAGGTAGCCGAGTTAGTCTGTAACAGGAAAAACTTAAAAAACAACAAATAGTCTGGTAGCACTTTAAAGACCAACAAAACATGTAGATGTTATCATGAGCTTTCATGGGCACAGCCCACTTCTTCAGCATTGCTCATACCTTGTATGGGTGTGTTGCTGCTGTGATTCCTGGAGACCAAAGGAGCTGCCACCTTGGGTGTGTCTAGACTACAGGGTTTTGTTGACAAAAGTGGACTTTTATTGACAGAACTTTACCTGCTTCTACACTACCGCTGAGTTCTGTCGACATAACGTCGACAGAACTCAGCAGTTTTGTCGACGGCAGTAAATCTCATTCTACGAGTGTCAGCCGACGGTCAGGGCAGTGTGTGTGTGTATGCTTCCGAGAAAAGGTTTAACGTCCGTGTCTTTACTGCTAGGACCGGGGTCCCGTCGCAGAGGGTGGCCAGCAGGCCAACAGACGCCCCGTTCTATAGAAAGAGCTTATTACACCTTAGATTTTAACTGCTAGAACACAGGGGTTCCTTCGCAGCGGGCAGCCTGGGAAAGGCTGGAAAGGTGCCCCAACGGATCTTGTCACCTGGGAGTGACACAGATCCAAACGCCCAAGCTCTCCTTATGTCTGTCCCTTTTATGACCGGCTGAAGTTCTTTTAAATTGTGCTTGGTTCTGTTACAGCAACTGAAGGAGTCAGGTTAAAGCTTAAACAGTTACAGGTTTATTAAAAGACTTATAAAAAGCATATGGTTACAATGGCTATTGCTCTATTTCTTAAATGCTAACAAATACAGATTTTAAAAATGGTTACAAAGAAAATAAAGATAGAAAATAGAAATAATGGTACCAAGTGACAGCTTAATCTTTAAAGAGCTCTAAGTCTATGTATATATATACTTAAACAAAGGACCACATCCAGGTACAATTTTTACCCCTTTCTGTGCCTCTCGACTCCAGCGTGTCAGGCCAGGGCCGGTCTCTCAATTCCTAGGAAAGACGAATACGAGGTGGGCGTCCCCTTGGAGCCTCGGGAGATCAAACACCTAACCCGACCAGCAGATAGATGGTAGATTGACACTCAAAGAGAATGCGCTGCTGGACCTATCTTTATACCCCTGGGGGCCCGTATTCTCTTTCTTATCTAAGATGCCGAATTCTACTGGTCCGTTTTGTGGCGCCAGTTCTTACAAGCAAGTTTCAAGTTAATTTACACTTGCAAGAGAGAGAACTAAATTGTGAGCACTAGACATTTTTTTACTGGGCGAGAGATTCCTCCCCCCGCGGATGGATGTGTGTTCGTATCAATATGGGTTAAGTCAAGGGCACTCCTTGGCAGCCTCTTGGTCAGCAATTGGCATATCTCTGTTTATAGCCATTCATGGTCACACAGCCTGGGCCTTCTGCTCTGTGTGCCCTGTATGCTCCAGGCAAGCAAAAATGGATGTTACAAGGGGATTCCTGTCTGGCTACAACGAGGCATAACGCCTTTTGTCTACAGAGTTCTGTTGACAGAAGGTTTTATTGCCTCTTCACTGTCCTTTGCGTCTACGCTGTCATGGCGACAAAGCAGCTTGCTTTGTCGACAGAACTGGATGTAGTCTAGACACTCTTTGTCGACAGTATCTGTCGACAAAGCCTCTGTCGACAAAAGCCTGTAGTCTAGACGTACCCGTTGGGACACCTGTTGGAGAAAATACTTCCAAATTCACTACCAAATTTGACACACACTTTTTGTATCTATGGAATGAAGGTCATTAGTTCAACTGCCCATTATATTTAAGCACCATCAGTTATTCTCCTTTTTCATATAAGTGCAAAAAGTCTGAAGCGCCAGTGGTTAACTGAATAGTGGTAGTTCTCCCCCATCAAACAAGGCTGTGAGGAGAAGTAGAGGGGTAGCAGTTTTAAATGCAAGTATTGTCGTTTGTCTCCCTTCTAACTGTTGTCTGTTAATTGCGTTACCACGGTAAAAGAACCATTTCCAGGAAGTGCAAGAGGGTAGGTAATTTGAGCCTGTTGCACAGCATGAAGTCCTCATTTAGTGTACTCCATTTTACCCCTCTCACTCAACAGTATGTGTTGTTGAAATTGCAACACTGAAAAATTTTGTTCCATATTCTTGGAACTACTCGTGAATGAAATGCTCTGTGTGCCCTCTCCTTACCGCCAGCCTTCTATTTTTATTCCTAATCTGTCTCTCTTTGAGACTCTGATTAATCTTTGTGTTGCACCATCCAACATTTCTAATCTCCATCCTGGATTGTAATGCGGAACAAAACATCTGTTGTACCAACACTGTTCTACCCTTCGGAGCATGAATGAGACGGGGCATGTTTTAGTCTGTTTTTTAGCACACAGGCTAGTTTTCTAGCAGAATTGACCTTCAAAAGGCAAGATGCAAGCTTTTATTTCTTTTTGAGCTGGGTAAACTGTATGGAGTAATCTGGCTTTTTTAGTATTTCATTCAACAGCCCTTTTAGATGTATAGATTCAAATACTGTATTGTTTGCAGCATATATTTCTAACTCACTCCTTCCCAGTTCAAAATAATTTGATACTCCAATAGCATGTTTATAGTTACATGTATTTTAATTCTTACTAGCACTTGTAAGACTTTTTTCTAGATAGAAACTTTTTTTTCTTTCATTTTATATGCAGAAATGCAAACACAATTCTTGACAAGTCTCTCAATATGGCCATGTCTAGGAATGGGGAAAAATGATGGACTTTTAAGTGACATTGGAAAGCAAGAATGTGAAAATGGGGTCCTGCTGTGTATCTAGTCCTGCTGCCCAACCCACTGGGCTTGCTATGGCCCAGCGCAACTGGCTGCCGCTGGACTTAACTGGCAAGAGTCAGTTACCTAGTTAACTGGGAAGCATCCCAATAAAGCTTCCTGCTTACTGGTATGCTTATTGGTTAACTAGTTAACATCCCTATTGAAAAGCATGTCGTATAAAATCTATAGATAGGCTTTGAAGGATTAGATTTCACGCACAATGACAAAAATATTTCCATCGATAATAATCGAAATTCACGATAGGTAAGAAAAATGCTGCTTGATGACTTATTAGAATTTGATTTAAGGCTATTTTATTTTGTATATTTTG